CCCTGACGGGCTCAGAGGTGCCTGACCCCCAGACTGGGCCGCACTTTGAGCATGGATTAGATAAATAAATAAAGTGTGATACATTCTCGACAGTGGTGGATTACAGCAGTGCTGTTGAGGAGGACATGGCTGATGCTCCTTGAAGTGGTCAGCACGGCCTCCTCGTTCAGCAGGTTCTCCTCAGATGCACACTGTGATCCGTGCCTCTCAGAGCCGGTCCTGTGCAGGCCGGGTCGTGGGGACCACTAGGAACATGCTGGGAGGACATTCCAGGTCAGGGGGTGACATGTGAAGGTACCAGAGCACATTCTTTTTAAGAGACCTACATGTTTTTAGGATGACATCATGTAGGGTGCGTGTTAGAAGTCCAGGGCAATGAGGCCGTAGAGGCCAGAGGTCAGCTTGACCGGAGTGCTCATGTTTCTCACTTCCAAGGCCTTTGTTCTTTGGACAGTGGTAGGTAAAATGATAATGCCTCTTGTGCGGGCTCCATGAAGCTAACCCACTGTCCCCGGGGTTCCCACGAGGTGGACTGGCTCAGCTCCACCTTAGTGCCCAGGCGCTCTCGGCTGTGTGGTGATAGGCTGGGTCATCTCCTGTGTATGTGGTGGGCTGGCAGGAGTCAGCACGTTCTTTTATTAATACTTATTGAGTGCTCTTTGGGGAGATACAAAGTTATGGTAATATAAAAAAATAATTGACAGTCGTCACTCTTCCGTTTTTCCGCTCTGGTCTGATTACAGTGTGGAGAGGCCCGAGAGAGCGTCTTGCTGCGTGAGCATATCCGTTGCGGTGGTACGGCCCTTGTCGCACTCTGGAGCCTCCGGGTGCTTGGGGAGAAATTAGCCGGTGTCCTCTGAGTCTGATGTTTCCATGAGTCAAGTCAGTTTTGCAAAGATTAACCAGGGAGCTATTTATAATGCATCATGGGTCATTTTCCTGTTTGTTATGTTGTCTGGAAAGTGGACCCACGTAAATTGGATTCAATTTCAAAACAAGAAAGAAATATTTTAACCTTGATGTTGTCCTTAAATCATCATTGGCTATATGTGAAAAGAATCTCTAATTGCATTAGGCAGTATAAGCAACATCAGCATCCTATGAACTCTATCCAGTTGTAGTTACTCCATGTACCCCTAAGTTACATAAGTAATGAGAGTGTTCCAGAATTAAAACATTAAAGAATCACTGCTTTTAGCCATTTAGCTCTGTCTCAAAACAAGTTGTCTTATTTTTTATGTTGTTTTTGTGATTGTAGGGTCTCAGTGATGGAAGGGCACTCACACACCATCTTGCCTGTTAGTTACCTGTTTCGTCCACACAGCGGCCCCATCTCTGTGTATAGCGTGGTGGTTTTCAACCCTGGTGACACCGTAGAGTCACCTGGGGACCTTTGGGAGCGATGCAGTGCCGGGCTCTCCCCCAGATCAGCCACACCGGCGTCTCAAGCAGTGCAGCCTGCCTGTTGATAATTTTCTAAAAGGTCCAGAGGTGATTTTTATGTGCAGCCATCATTGAAAACCACTGTTTAGTTATTAGAGTTTAGATTTTTAGGCTAGCATGCAGCAGAGTTACCTGGAGGGCTAGTTAAAACACTTGGCGTGGCTCGCTTTCTGGGCCCAGCCCCAGTCTGATTCAGTAGGCCTGGGGGGCTCCGGAATTTTCATTTCAGACAGGTTCCTGGGCGATGCTGCTGTTGTGGGGACCACACTTTGAGAATCATGACGGAGAGTAGCGCTGCCCAACAAAATCCAGTGGGAGCCATATATGTAATTTAAAGTTTTTTCAGTAGCCACATTAAAAAACTACAAGGAAACAGGTGAAACTATTTTCATATGTGTTTGAAGCCACTCTGTAAAGTATTTCAACATATAATCAATATAAAAATTTTTAATGCGAAATTTACATTTTAAAAATACTATTTAAAACCCAGTGCTTTACACCTGCAGCACACACCTGAGTTTGGATTAAGCACATGTCACGTGCTGAGTAGTCACACGTGGCTGTGGCTACCACCCTGTCCAGTGCAGAGGGACAGGAATCTTCAGGGTTCCCAGGAGAAATTACAGGATTTGGAGTCTGTGTAGTCTGTGTCCATAGAGCTGTAAAATTTCCTTTTATTTACTAAAATCTATGTCTCTGTAGCTCCGGTGTTTTAGTTTTATATTATTGTACAAGTATAAGATACCTTTCATCTAACGTCAGCAGTCCTTATGTTCACCCAGTTAGGCAGTTTAAAACCGTATCATTTCACCCTGGCTGGAGTGGCTCAGTGGGTTGAGCGCCAGCCTGTGAGCTGAATGGTTCCCAGTTAAGTTCCTGGTCACAGCACAGACCTGGGTTGCAGGCCAGGTCCCTGGTTGGGGGTGCGTGTGTGAGGTAACAAATCAGTGTTTCTCTCCCTTTCTCCCTTCCTTCCCCTCTCTCTAAAAAAATAAATAAAATCTTAAAAAAAAACAACCTCGTATCATTTCATCTGAACACTTCTCTCCTACAATGCAGTAACCAGAGTGGTGCCCAGTCCTCTAGCTGTAGTCTGACCTCAAAGAATAGAACAAATCCTGCCCCCTGCTCCCCCCCTTTGGTGCATGCCACTAGGATTACTGCAGCCCAGGAGCCTGGGAGTTTTTCTTACAGTAGTGGCTCATACCAAATGTTGGAGCCCGTAAACCCCTTCCGTGCTGCTGTGCATATTTGGTTGTTTTTGTGGATGCAAATGCAAGACTTTTATGTATGTCCCAGTAGCACTGTGGTTCTCATGGGGGGTGACTCTGCTCCCCTCGGGAACATTTGGCAATGTCTGGGGACATTTTTGGTTGTTGTCACAGCTGGTGGGGAGGGAGGTGGTGGCGGTGCTACTGGTATCTGGTTGGCAGAGGACAAGGATGCTCCTGAACATTGCACAGTTAACGGGATGCCCCCCCAACAAGAATTACCCCCAAATGTCAGTAGCGTGGGGGTTGAGGAGCCCCCTCAGGAAACAGCGGGGTCCCTGGAGCTCCTTTGGGTGGTGATCACTTTGTTCTCACGAGTGTTTGGGTGCTTCCTGGGCTCCCTCAGGGCACTCGGGTTGGTCCCTGTCAGAAAAGGGGGTGATTTGTCTCTCGATTTTTCATTTTGATTATTTTTAGTGAGCTCAGGAAAGTTTGGTAAATATAGAAAAGTATTAAAATAATATATACTTCAACCTTTACTTCTAATTCCACTACCTCAGAGTAACTATGGCTGACATTTTGGTGCCTGGGTTTGCGTCCTGGGTCCACCACCTCCTAGTTATGTGACCTTGAGCAACTTGCCTGGAGGGATGGTACTAGTGCCCGGCTCTGAGTTGTGAGGGCTGAGCACACTTAGGGCATGCATGTGGAGTGTGCACAGCAGTCCCCGGCACATGGGGAGAGGTGCTGGGGTGTGGTTTCGGTGTTCTTTCTTCGCCTGCGTCTGTGTGTGGTGTGCAGGTGAACATGTTTGAGCTCACGCGGTGTGGTTTCATACCTGCTTTTTTTGCTTCAATGGAGAACATTTGCCCATGTTACTAAGAGTTCTTAGAAAGCATGTTACTTTCTGTAGAATACCGTGACTTTTGATATATTAAATGTAAAAATAAATAAAGACATAATTTGGGGCTAAATTACATCTCTTAAGCTGGATTAAAGGATAGTCGTGGTGGTGGCGGATGCTTACAGGTTTAAGAAAAGTTTGAGAGAAAAGCTTAACTTTGAGAATGCTTCACTCATTATCTTTTTTCCTCTGTGGTTGAAAAAAGACTGCCATTGTTAGATTTTAGCAATGACACCTCAGTCTGCTATAGAACTGCTGTGTTCCAGCCCCTTCTAGAATCTCACCTCTAATCGATGCAAAGCTTCTTGGTTTCTAGTTTATAGAATTTGTCATCTCTACATTTTTTCTCCCCCTTGCAAAAAAATAGTATAAATCCTTATACATTTGAAGAGATTTCTGCCTCTTTAACTTTCTATTGAAAATTCATTTTTCTGAGTTGAAAAATGAAGAAACAAAACTTTTTCCTCCTGTGCATTTACGTCTGAAGTCCTTCTGGAAGTGATACATTCATATTTTGGAATTAGAGTCTCATGGATTTCCATGTGGAAGAGTGAACAGTTAGGTGTGAAACGGGGCAACTGTTTGTCTTCAGAACGGCTTGTTTCCGTAGCCTTAAGGATACTGGGTTGTGTGTGTCTTTTTCAAGCTCTGTGTCTCTTGGCTCTGTGTTTGTAATACACTTCGGAATTTTATTGTAGAAGTCTTCTAGGGGTTTGAAAGTAATGATAACTCTTAAAGCTTATTAGCAGCATTTTAATTTTGGAAACGAGACAAAATGAAAATCATGTTTAAAGTTTTCACTTGGCAGGAGTAGCAGCAGCCCTGTGGCCCCTGGGTGAGAGGGGAGGACCCAGGGAGGCAGGACTGTGCCAAGGCCAGTGTGAACACACCTCGTCCGAGCGCCCCTGTGTTCTTAGGGCCGAAGCAGGGTGCCGAGTTCGGTTGTTTGTACTGGGAGCTTGCCAGAGGATCATCTTGTGGCTGCTGTTTGCTAGGGGACTGATTAGTCAGCTAGGCAGCCGTAGTGAAACTCGTCTCAGGAAAGAGGCAGTAGACACGATTTACCGCTTGGAAGAGCATCTGGAAGTCAGAGCCCTTGAGAAATGGCCCGTGGTGTCCGGACCCTGTGTTCAGGCCGTGCGTGTATCACGGCCTCACCTGGCAAGCAGCCGCGGCCCAGGGATGTTTAACGACTTTCTTCCGTCAGCCACTGCTAAGTGGGGAAAGCATCCTGGTTGGTCACTTGTTATGCAGGTAATGTCATTGGACACCTGCCTTGGTGCTCTCCCCTGAGGTCTGGGAAGGATCTGCGAGTGTCAGTTGAGGCTTCCTCTTTTCTGTGTGTGGACGATTTCCACGGATGGTCTAGCACGAGACATTGTTGGTTTAGATGAGCTCAATTAATTTTTTAAAGGTTTTGACCAGCGTTTTTGTTTTGATAGCAATTGCCTGTTCAGAGCCCTTGGCGATCAGTTGGAGGGACACTCGCGAAATCACCTCAAGCACCGACAGGAGACGGTGGACTACATGGTAAAGCAGCGGGAAGATTTCGAGCCCTTTGTAGAAGATGACATTCCCTTCGAGAAACACGGTAGGTTTGCTGTGGGACGCTGGATCCTCCAGGAGGAACACAGTTGGGTAACTAAATCCATCAGCCTCCCCACTCCCAGCCAGGGATTTGGTTACGTAACTGACGGCATGTGTTGGACAGATTCTTGTCTGCTGTGTAACAGGCCGAATGCTAGGCAGTTGGGATTCAGTGGGTTTCATGTGAACGCCCTTAATAAAAATGATGCTGTAAATTGACGTGGGGAAGCAGCTATAAAGTAGTGTGTGTAGATCAGTCCTGTTTTTAAAGGTACATGCACTAGAAAAATCCTGGAAGGGCATGAACATTTTATGGTTGTGTATCCTTGACGCCAGTTCTTTTCGGAAACCACTTACTCTCTAAACTCCTCTGAAGGGGAGATAATAGTAGCACCTGTTATCGGCTCCTTTGGGGAAGATTAAATTGAACGAGATAATTAAAATTAGTTCTTAATTGTTAGCCGTCTGGGGATGGTGGGTCTATGTGTATTTTAAATTAGTGTCTGTAGATTCTTCTGATTTCATTTTTTAAACTTTTTAAATGTTTATTTTTTATTATAGGAGGGGAGGGAGGGAAACAGAGAGGGGGGCAGAGAGAGAGATCGATTTGTTTTTCCACTTATTTATGCATTCATTGGTTGATTCTTGTATGCTCCCTGACCAGGGATTGAACCCACAGCCTTGCTGTGTTGGGATGGTGCTCTAATCACCTGAGCTACCCGGCCAGGGCTGTGCAGTTTCCTGATTTTAAATGATCATGTATTCCTTCTATAATCAGAAAAATCAATAAAATTATTTTAATTTCTCACCAAAAATCCAAACATATCCTGTTCTATTTGGGGAAAATCTAGTGATTTTAATTAATTCCTTAGTAGGCACAAATCTAGTAAGAAAATGCATATGAGCTTGTAAACTTTAATTTGACAGGTATTTACTGAGGATGTACTATGCTGGGTGCTGATATATTTATGTTACAATAACGTTTTCATCACAGGACCCAGTCTTATCTGTATCTTACAGGGAAGAGAGTATTTCCTGCGCTTCAGAGCGCCACTCTGGGGACCATGTCCGGAAAGAATGGGGAGAGGAACTGGGAGGGGAGAGGAGTTGGGATGCTTGCCACGCCGGCCAGATGAAAGAGGCAGCTGCTGGGGATGAGGACAGGGGTCCAGACCAGGACACAGCTGGCAGTGGAATAGACAGGGCTCACTGGAGGTAGAAGGAAGGGAGAAGGGGAGACAGGTGACTGTGAAGGTTCCATCTGGGGAGTAGCTAGGGAGCTGCGTTGTTAGCAGGGGAGAGGGCAGCTGTCAGTGATCGTAGCTCACAGGGGACGGACTCATTCACTGGGCACCAGCAGCAAAAGGGACGCAGCAGCCAGATGCCCCGTGAGTCATTGCTGCCAGTCACCGAGCTGATGGTCCCGCTCCCTGGATGAGTTTGGTCCGGTGCACGGGCATGGTTTACCGGGTGGCCAGCAGCCCACAGATTAAACGTGATTCTGTGGGGTGAGGTTTGTAGTTTAGCTGTAGAAAGTGAATTGTGTCATTGATCCGATTAAAATAGTTTGGATGAAGAGAGTTTTTAGTTTGTGACTTGAAATTCCACTTTAAACATCTTCAGTGAAGGTCCTTTGGTAGATTTTGGGGTGAGACACAGGGCAAGGAACTTGTGTCCAGGGTGAGTCACCATAGATGTCAGTGGGAAAACATTTTCTTGAAATGTCACAGCGCATCCCTGATTGCGGTTTGGCACTTCATAAAGAATTTGAGCCTCAAAGTGAGAGGCAGCTCTGACTGCTGTAGCGACGCGGAAGGAAACTTAGAAGTCTGTACGTTCTGCGTGCGTGTCACTTGAAGACCAGACTTACCGCATTGTCACTCGTGTCAGAGTTTTGGGTCTCGAATGTCTGCCTGCCTTGCTACGCTGAGTCCTGAGGGCGGGGTTGTCTCTTCCCCAGCATGGCGATGCCTGGCTCACGGAGATGCTGGGAAGATACTTGTTGACTGAATAAATGAAAGGCTCACTCAGCTTTTCAGGACCTGGTTACCCTTGCATTGTTCTGTATCTTTTAGAATTATTTCCCTTTAGATGGTGGCTTTGGAGAATTGGCAGTGTCTTTTTCCTAACTGCGTAGATATCCAGATCAGAGTCTTGGATCTTCTCCATGCCTCCTCTCTGCTCCTCCCCATGTCCGCTCATTCATCGAGTCTTGTCATGTCCACCTCAGTGTTTTTTCCTTTCCTCCTAGCACCTCAGAAGGTCAGGCCTCTGTGGTCACGTGGGTGTTTGCCTAGATTTCTTCAGTACTCTTTCGACTGGTCTCATTTCCCGTTGACCCATTCAGTTTGCTTTTTTCAGCAGAGTAGTGACCTAAATGTATGTCTAGTCCATCTTTCCCCTGCCCTCAACCCCTTGACTGCAGGGTAAAGTCCAACCTCTTGAGCCCTTTGAGAACTGTGATTTTCTTATTTCTCTTTCATCGTCTCCCACCCTGCTCTGTTAGTGTTCTGAGTTTTGCAGACTCCGGTCTGTCTGCCCCTCTCCTCCCTCCATCTCTCCTCTCTGCCTGGAACATCATTTCTCTTCTGTGTCTCTGTCTTCCACGTGTCACTGGGGAATCAGCTTAGTCGTCTAAGCCGAGAAGCATCACTGGTAACACCTGAGCCCTGCCCCCCACCCAGCCCCTGCCTCACTAGCTTATGACCCTGATCTGGGTTTGCAGGCTTGGGGTCTCCTGGAACCATTCTCAGGTTCAATGATTTGCTACGAGGACTGAGAGAATTTACTGAAGGCTCTTATACTCACAGTTACAGTTTATTACATGGCGAGGCTATAAGTCAAAATTAGCCAAAGGGGCAGAGTCTGGAAGGTTCCAGACACGAGGCTTCTGTTGTCCTCAGGATGCATTACCCTCCTGGCATCTGTGTGTGATGCAGAGTTGTCAGCCCTGAAGCTCCCCCGAACTTTGGTGTCCCGTTTCATTATGGGGGCATTACTGATTGATTGCCTCGTTCCCCAGTTCCCACTTCTGGCTGATGTCACATGGTCAGAGTTGAGGAGCCCACTGTGAATAGCACAGACCTTCCTGTCACTTGGGAAACTTGAAGGGTTGAGAGGTTATCTCCCAGGGGCAGAGGTCAGACCTTTCTTTGGGCAAGACCAGATTCTTTACCTATATCCCCTTCCTGTAGCCCTTACACACCAGCAGTGCCCATTTTCTTGTTTGCCTCCCACTGACCATGAACTTCTCAAGGGCACAGTGTGACAGGCTGTGAAACAGTCACCAGAAGCCAGGCTGCCTGGGCTGTAATCTCAGCTCTGCTGTGTGCTGGCTCTGTGAGCTCGGGCACAGTTATAAATTACTCCGTGCCTCGGTTTGCTCATCTGTAAAATGGCGTGCATGGTAATACCTCTCAGAGGGTCATTTTGAGGAATAAAAGTGCTAATCCGTGAGGAGTAAAGCAGTGCTCAACGATATGCATTCACTAATGCAAACCGTTATAATCACTATTTCTTGTTACATTTCCTGTGTCTTTTATAGAGGTAGGCTTACAGGAAGCATTCAGCAACCATGTATTGAAGGAGTAAGTTAGTGAATCCTTTCTTGTGAAAGATTCATGTGCTTTTGATGGCAGTCTGCATACTGTTTGGCATCCAGGTCCCTAGACTCGGACAGAGCTAGCAGACTTTTTAGATGCGCACCCTTGTTTCTGTCTGGAGCTAACTAAGCACCAGAGCTTGCATTTGGGTTTTTCTGTTATAAAGACTTCAGTTTTCTTTCCTGTTTCCATGCAGTGGCCAGTTTGGCAAAGCCTGGTACATTTGCTGGCAATGATGCAATTGTGGCCTTTGCAAGAAATCATCAGTTGAATGTGGTGATTCATCAACTTAATGCCCCGTTGTGGCAGGTAGGTCACTGATTCAAGAGCTTATCTTCAGCTCTTCTTTATAAGTTGCCTTGGGGATGTGCTAAAGGTGGGGCATGGCCTGTGCCATTGAACTGTGTAGGGCAACTTGGACCGTGAGCCTGACCAAAGATGGGAAGCTTGTGGTGGCTTGGGATTACTCCGTGCCAAGTTCCCATGGAGTCTGGAGTATGTAATTCAGAAACCTTTAGATGCCAGAAACATTATTCAGCATGCAGTTAATTGGGTAGTTTGGGGGCAGAGAGCCTAATGTAGAACTACTGTCGATAATTCTGTAAAATATCTAAGTGATAATACAAAGGGTCACAGAAGTTTAGTTTGGAGTATGCCTACTCCCACATACATGTTGGTGTTTTTAGGTGGAGGGAAACGGACCAAATTTACCCTAATAACCGTTGCTAAAAAGAATGTTCTGACTCCACGGCCCAGGATGTCAGGTCCGTCCCGCTGGTCAGCTCAGCCGTGCTCCTGGCTCCCGTGGTTTCTCGGCAGCAGCTGAGGTTTGACAGCAGGCGCTGCGTGCGCGCTGACGGCAGAGCACGTCGCCGAGCCGTGTGGTTCCCCTTCGTTCCCTGGCTGCGAAGCGCTTTGGAACCCTCGGTGGCCCTGACCTCCCTCTGTCAAACCCAACGCTCTGTGTGGAAGGTCTTCCTCCTGGCGTTCAGGGTGCTTCCTGCGCTTCGCAGCCCTGCCCCCGCACACGGGGCGTGGGTTTGTCAGTCCTCCCCTCCGCTGCTCCTCCACTTCCAACTTGTTTTTTTTTAATTAGAAAGGTCAAACATATGGATCGTAGAAAAATTTGAAAATTCAGAAAAGCCAATAAACGCAAATAAAACTCACGCAGAGCGACATTCCCTAGAGATGGTTACCGTTAACATTTTAGTGTGTGTCCCTGTCACTCACACACTCTAAGCTGCACATTCATACGTAACTGGGAAGGCAGGTGTCACGGTGTCTTCATGCACCCTTCAAACACGCCTGCGTGCACTCGGACATGTCCTGGCATATGTAGGCACACACTCCTGTGTCCCTGTGTGTTACTGTGACAGAGGCAGCGGTGGCCTTTTGCTCGCTGTTTTCATGCTGGCACATATTTTCCCGTGTAAGTTGTTTATTCACAACCTTTGCTTATTAAGAATAAAGGTGAGTTTATAGAGATACAGTTAACAAACTGGAAAATTAGCCCTTCTCAGACGTATATTTTTTGGGCTCATGTAGTCATGTAACCACCGTCACTGTCAACATGTAAAGTATTCCCATTACCCCTGAACGTGTCCTCATGTCCTGTTGCATTCCCTGTCCCTCCGCACATCCCCAGTGCCGCAGTCACCGATCTGACTTGGCTCTTACAGTCTGGCCCTTCCAGAAGGTCACCTTAATGGTAGTATATAGCCCTTGTGTCTGGTGTAATGTCCTTTAAACAAAATGACAGCAGAATAATGAGACACTCCATGGGCCGGGGAGGAGTTTTGCTGGGAGGGAAGCAGCGAGGGTGTGCGTGCTCTGGGCAGTGTTGCGGGGTGTGCCGACGCAGGGAGAGCTGGCGTCTGTAGTGTGGTGCTCTCGGTGAGGGCGGGCTGGGAGCCAGCAACACTGTTACCTTCTTCACTGTCCCAGCTCCTTGTCGTTAACACAGCAGAATGACCCTATTCTTGCAGGGAAACATACTCTGTGTGTCATCTGAGTGACCATAGCCTGCTTTTTCTGCCTTTGGCAACATAGCTTTATTTTTGTTTCTTAATTATGTAAGTAGTTGTAGAAAATAATTCTGCATAGTTAGAATTTTTTCAAATACATTTTATAGTCTTTCATGGATTGCTAAACATTGAAAGTATATATTTTAAAATAAATATCTTTGCTGTATAATGGAACTACTGTATTCACTGATCTCCCCCGTCTTCCCCCACCCCAGTAAAGCATCTTATGAAATTTAGGAATTGAAACTGCTGTGATTGCTACTGTCGTGGGTAAGAACTCTTGCATTAGTAACAGGCAGGCTCATACAACAACAGAGCACTGAAACCTACATATTTTTTCTGGGTACAAATGGAGTGTGTGTCCCTGTGAGCTGTATAGGTGTGTGTGATGCAGGAAGTGAGGCTTCAAGCCCAACAAGTGTGCATACGCCTGGGGGCCTTCCCTCTCAGGAGGGCCTCTGCCCGGAGGGCGGCGCTAGTGCCCCGGGACTGACGCCTGTTTAACCTCACCGAACTCTGCCCTGGGTTTCGAATGGGCGTTTTCATATGGACTTGCTTCTATGTGCTTCCATACTAAGCATGTCGAAGCTTCCATGCACGGATGGGAGAAAGAGGGATCAGAACTGCTCTGGATGCACCCGCTCATCATTCCCAGTCATGTCACACAGAGTCTGTTGATGGGCTTCCTGGGCCGTCCAGGTAGTTCTCTCCAGGGGCTTCTGCCATCCAGATCCCCAAGGGCATCTCCCCTCTCCTGCTTCCAGATTCGCGGCACGGATAAGAGCAGCGTGCGGGAGTTGCACATCGCCTACCGGTACGGAGAGCACTACGACAGCGTCCGGAGGATCAATGACAACTCCGAGGCTCCCGCCCATCTCCAGACGGATGTGAGCCAGGCCTCTGTTTCCTTCTGTAGTCTCAGCTCCGAAGGAGCCGGGTTGAGAGCGGGTGCCCGGAGCTAAAAACCAGTGATGTTTTTATGGACACTTGCCTTTATTTAATAATCCGTGGGTTTGGGTTTTTTTTTTTAAAGATTTTATTTATTTATTTTTAGACAGAAGGGATAGGAGGGAGAAAGAGGAGAGAAACATCAGTGTGTGGTTGCCTCTCATGTGCCCCCAACTGGGGACTTGGCCCGCAACCCAGGCATGTGCCCTGACTGGGAATTGAACCAGCGACTCTTTGGTTCACAGGCCGTTGCTCAGTCCACTGAGCCATACCAGCCACGGCTCTGATGCCATTCTTACCAAACAGTTGATCCATATCTTGGGCCATTCTCTTTAATACTTCTGTTGTGGACTGAAATCTCAGTACTCGGATGAAATTTAGCCTAGTCATAGCTCTTAAGATGGTTTCTGGAATCTTTTTCCTGTATATTTCAATGTTTCTGAGATTAGAGTGTCTTCCTTAGTTGAAGAATTTGAACGTAGCTTACAGGAGTTCCATGATGATTACTCCTAAAATTTCTTTTAGTTTCAGATACTTCATCAAGATGAATCAAACAAAAGAGAAAAGATCAAGACAAAGGGGATCGACTTGGACGACGACCTGCAGGATGAAGTGGAGGATGCTGTCCAGAAAGTGTGCAGTGCAACCGGCTGCTCAGTTAGTATTTCTGCCCCGCAGTGGCCCCGCAGCGACCCCGCAGCGACCCCGGCCTCGGACCAGCGCTGCCGCGCCTAGTCCGCCTGCACGTCTGCGGCGCGTGCCCACGCCCCGTGGCCCGGAGAGGCCCGCGGTGTTTGTGGTTTCGTGAGGTTGTGGGATGCACCTTAATGGGCGCTGTTGATCCACTTCTCTCTGGTCTGTGGACTTACCCAATACTGCTCAAAAGCCCGGGGAAGCATGTGGGGTTTTTTTCTGATGTTTGTACAAGTAAAAGCATTTTATAAAAAAATCTTTTTATAAAGGGAAGAGCAGGAGTGGTTTGCATTTATTTATATTAACCGGTTATTCACGTGGCCAACTTTATTGAAAATCAACATTTTTTAAATGGAAAAGGTCTTGAAATGTCTCAATTATCACTATTACATCATTTTGTTGATCAAATTATGGCAGTAAAGGTAGAAAAATATTTCCAGAGTCTTTAAGTGTTTCTTTGTTTTTTGGATAGGATTTTAATTTGATAGTCCAGAACCTGGAAGCTGAAAATTATAATATTGAATCCGCAATAATTGCCATGCTTCAGATGAACCAGGGGAAGAGAAATAGTAAGTCCATGATTGATATTTATAAGCTTTCAAAATGATGATCGGTGTATTTTGTGTCAGTGATTTTCCAAATATTTATTTTTAATCAAGTCACAGGAGGTAACTGTACTGCCCTTTTACGTATGCATTTAGCAGTTGTTTACTGAGCACTTTCTGTGCAGGCTGCTTCCTGGGTGGTGGTCCTGCCCCAGGGGAGTGAGGCGGGGATGGAGACCAGTGCCTGACCGGCACCACCGACGCCTGGCAGAGTCGCGGGCCAGGCTGCCGGGGTGTGCAGGCTGCCGGACCCAGTTTGGGAGGGGCAGAGAGTGTCAGGGGAGACTTTATCCTTTTAGAAATAAGATTTCTTTATAAAATAAAAAAGATAACTAAAATCGGATGGAGAGAAAAATACCGTGTTGTTCCGATTGAAATATTTAGATTACTAGCATCTGCAATTCTGGTAATAATCCAGAATTATTTTTACTTGAACTGAGTTTAGTTTTGTGACACAGGGGAAGGAAGAAAGATGTGATGTCTTAACAGTTTTCTTGAGTCATTTATTGAAAATGATTCCAGTACCTATTGGCAGATGCTGTTCCTGGCGTTGTAGTTTTCCGTGTGACGGGGCACGCTGTCACCTGCTTCATACGTTTGCCGTGCCGTCCTAGGGAGCGACACTGGCCTTCACATGTGACTGTAAAGCACCCCCGTCCAGGATCTGTGCCACCCAGTGTGCTGAGTGCTGGGCGTGCGGCTCCGAGAGGCGGAGGGACCACGATTTAAGTTTTATCTGACTTGGAATGGTCACGTGTAACTGGTGGCTACTGTACTGTAGCAAAGCTTTACATCCTGTTTTCTTTTCTGGTTTGGGGTGCAAATGAAAGATTTCCCCCTAAATGTTCATGTTAAAAAGTGGTTTATCTAATGAAACAAAACAGTCTGCTTGTAGGAAGCTGATGATGAGGCTGGGCAACAGGTTACTTATAAATTTCCAAATTTTATCAAAACTTTCCCCCTATGTTCCCTGCTGTATTAATTTGATAGTAGAATTGCCTCAAGGAAACTTGCTCTCCAGATGATTGTGAACTAGGGACCCAGGTAATTTTGGAGTCACTTAATAGGAGTTGATTTGTGTAACTATTTTTGGTTCTCAATTTTAATAAAATATCTTTCTTTGGAAGATGCAGAGGAGAACCTTGAGTCCAGTGGCCGAGTGCCGAAGCAGAGTGGTCCTTTATGGGAGGCGGGTGGCAGTGGCACCAGGATCTTTGGAAATCAGGGCTTAAATGAAGGCAGGACTGACAACAATAAGGTGCGGGCCAGCCCTAGTGAAGAGAACAGAGCAAATAAAAACCAGCTCCCAAAGGTACGGAAGGTGGGGTTACAAGGGTGCATGGTGGCTGCTGTAATTCGGTGGCAGTGGTGGGGACTTGGGCTCGTTCTAGTGCGTAATTTTCTTTTGATTTATAAAGCGGCAGTTGTGGAAAATATGGGGAGTGCATAAGGGATGGCAGGAAGCAGAACGAAGGCCCCTCCTGCGTGGTGCGCGCAGTGACGACCAGAAGTGGAACTGAACTTTGTGGGCGCACACTCACTCGCCTTTCCCACCCGGCGTTCCTGTGGGCACGGTTGCTTCCGTGTTAATTTGTGCTGTAAAACCCCATTAAAAAAAAGATTTTAGAGAGGCAGGAAAGGAGAAAGAGAGAAACATCGATCAGTTGCCTCCTGTACCCGCTCCGACCAGGATCAAATCTTCAGCCTTTCCGTGTGTGGGACGACGCTCCAGCCAGCAGAGCCGCTCGGCCAGGGCTACACAGTCCCATTAGTTACCATGCGCAGTGAACACCTGCAGCATTTATTTGTATAAATCTGTATTTTGCATTACTTTCTTGGCTAAAGTCCCAGGAGAAGACTTGATAGGTTAAAGGGCATGGATATTTATTTTTTTTAAGGCTTTTTGGTAAATTGTCAAGTGCTTCCCAGAAAGATGCATTCTTCCCACCACCCCCGATGCCTACAAGTAGTTTATGATGCTGTTTTAAAGACTTTCACCAAGAAGTTCAGAGCTCAAAATGCAACCTGATGTAAAAAGCCACAGGTGGAGGCAAAAGTGCAGTGAGTTTCTGGAGTCCGTTAGCTCTAACCTGGGGCATTCCATTTTGTAGAGAAAGGTGCCCTCTGGCCTGCTTGAGGGTTACCTCTTGCTGGCCTCGGGTTAACATTTTTTGTATCATTTTGAATTGGTTTGTGAGGAGAATGGAATTGATTTTGTTTGCTAGCTCACAAGGGGATGGGATGTACATTTAAATGGAAATTTGAGCAGTAATGGAAACCACGTCACGTTTGCTCTCTTTGGTGGGGTTTCTCGATCCTGGTCTTGGTGTGAGGTGGCCCCTGCTCTGTGCCTCCGTCAGCCCCATGGCCCCCAGCCTGACCCAGCCGGCGGGCGCCTCACCCGAGGTCTTGTCTTTCAGGTCTCCAGTCGGCAGCGGAGAGAGCAGCAGCGTCTGGAGAAGAAGAAGCGACAGGAGGAGAGGCACCGTCACAAAGCCCTGGAGGGCAGGGGTGGCCATAGGGACAGTAACAGGAGCGAGGCGGAGGCAAGTGCGCAGGTCACCTTGGTGAAGACCTTCGCCGCGCTCAACATCTGACTCACCCCGGCCGGCCGGGCGTTGGGAGAAGTGATGGAAGGCACCTGAGGGCACCAGACTCCCTGGGGAGGCCGTGTCCCTGCGACAGCCCGAAGAACCGCACGGGGGCCTGCGCCCCGAGTTGGTGTCCGTGCGCTGCCCGTTTCGTTCGGGTTTCATTAGTGACGTGTGTAATTTAACGGAAGTCCAGTGAAGCCGTTCGTGTTCTGTTCTTAAAATGTTGAGTTTTAGGGTGGGTTGCTAGATCAGGAAAAACCTTGTGGGTGTGACTCCATTTGCTCTGAAAATGCTGGAAACCAGAGTTCAGTGACCCTGGGATCTTTCCTTCAGCTTTGGGGTGAGTTTTGCTGTAATTGTTCGTGAAGTAGTTTAGACGAATTGTAGGAAATTCAGAATGACAAGTTCCTTTTGTTTCTCTTTCAGTTTTGGACAGATATATTAACATACAGGATCGTCTGTACCATCTCCAACTCAGGAACATGTCTAGGTTTACTTTTCTTTTAACCCACATTAGTCAGAAAACACTTCCAAGATGTGCTCTGCTCTCCCCAGGTTCCGGGAGCCAGGGCGTGGCCTGCGGCCCGGACGGGACTCACACCAGGTGTCTGTCCTTCCCGACTCCGCAGGTGCGGTGGTTCGTTCACACTGCAGCCACGCGAGTCATGCGCCTGCCCGAGTCATGCGCCTGCCCGTCGGAGAGGCCCGGGCTCTGCAGGGAAGGCGCGGTGTTGTTGAGACTTGGTGCTCGTGCCAGGGCGGCGGCCCGCTGCTGCTTCTGGTGGAGTTGGGTTCTGGCAGCGTGGAAGGCTGAGTGGGGCAGGTCGAGGCTACTCTCGAGTGTTTGCCTAGGAAGAGGCTCAAGAGTTACCTGGTTTTGTAGGGAGAATATCTGGAAGAATATCTAAGGTTGTTCATCTTCACATTGTAACTATTTTCTTCCCCATTTTTCTAGACTTAGATGCCTTCAGAGAAATAAAAGGTAACTTGACCTGTTGCTAAGTTTTTGTGTGTGTTGTGAAAGTGAACCGTAAAGTGCTGCCTTTGTTTCTGTTTAAGCTCTGTCTGGGCTTCTGATGTTGGGAAAGCTCCCTAGGGCCACATCAACGTGTCGGGGAGTTAGGGCGGACCCGCAGGGCAGAGAACGTGCCCGGCAGGGTGCAGTTCTGCGGCAGGGATCTGGGCGGTGGCGGTCTGTCGTTCCTAAGAGGAGTTAGGTGGATGTGGCCCCGAAAACTGGAATGTCTGAAGTGGCCAGTCTTGCATAGTCTGTACCTTTTGGGGACCCAGTACTTAGGTAAGATACGCTGATGAAAAGGTAAATGTTGCCTTCGCCTCCTCGGGTTTCAGAGTTGGGCGAAGGGGAGCCGAGAAGGTGTTGATGTCGCGGCGGGCTGCGTCTGGGCCGCCCGGGTTCGTCGGCCTGGCTGCCAGTAGGCGGTTTGCTTTCTTTGGTTTAATGATGTGTTTTACTTTTTTTTCTTTGGTGCCTTTTTGGAGTTGGAGTATCAGTCGCCTCTAGGAGTCGCTCCCAGGACATTGTAGTTTGGGCATCTTCTGGCACAACACACTGTGCCGTCGGCAGGTCGGGGAACTGCAGAGCGTTCTCTCCTCGCAGTTTGCGGAGTCCGGACTTTGAGAGGCGCTAGGGCTCGGTGCAGACAGGTGCAGGGTCTCCAGCGCCTCACTGTCTCCACGGGGGCGGGGAGCGTGCGGGAGGCCGGATCCTCCCCGAAGACCAAGATGGTGTGCCAGGAATTCAGGAGAATTTGGAGTCAGAAGGAGCTTAAGGGAGACCCATTGTCAGAAGTGGCGGAATCACTTTATTTGCTTCGTTAGTGAAGGTGGCCTTGGCCCTAGCAGGTTTTAGAAGTTGTAGAAGCTGCTAAACAGTTAATAAAGAATATTGGGCACATTTATTTATATACATTATCTAAATCTGGTAACAGGCTCCAACATTTCTGGGGTAAATAGCAGTGGGTTTTAACAACTAATCAACTGGTTGCAGTAATGTTCTCTCATTACTGTTTTGTAGTTTTCTGGCTGTCCCCGGTCCGTGTTGAGTACGTTAACCATCAAGGATCTGTACGTGTCTGTCCCCCTTCAGCTATGTCTTCCAGCTAAGGGTTCGAATATAGACTTCCCCGCCTCAGTTTCCCTGAAGAGTGAGGTGGGTGGAGTCTGTACTCAGTTGCCTTCAGAGTCACTTGAAAACCACCTCACGGGCAGCGGAAGGGAGGCTGTGCGGCCGTCAGTGAGGCGCCCCCGGGAGAGCTGCCTGCGTGGGCTCCCGTCAGGAAGTGGGTCTCTCCTAACCTCTGTTCCGTCTGGGCTGCTACGCGGGGCTTCCCAGCAGCCTTCAGTGAGGCTAGGAGAAGGGGCGGGGCGGCGAGCCCTAGCTGCTTAGTAGACTTAGAAACTGTACATAAGGTTTTATGAATCAAAAAAAGATTTTTTTAAAAAGTCAAAACAAGAAACAAAGTTGTAGTGGCAACAGCGCTGTACTGTGGAGGTGGGTGAATTAGAACAACGTGGAACCGCAGCCTCCAGGCAGCGGCGGTGCCACCAGGAGGCAGTAGAGAGAGTGCGCACCTCTGACTTCTCCATACGTCGGACACGTGCTTTCGGCACCGGTGAGCGGGAGGGGACCTTCGGTGTCGGCCGAGGTTGTCCGTAGTTTCTTTTTAAGCTCTGAAGACACCTCCAAACCCGTCTCGGATCTGAGGCCTTGCAAAGTGGGATCTCCCTCGTGGGGCGCTTGGTGCTGGGCTTCGAGGGAGCCTTTGCGTGGTGGGTAGTTTAAAATGCCCCATTTCCCTAGGGAGCCTTACAGCGTGAACCGGTACGGTCGGGGCGGGCGGGGCCGGGCCCCGCGGGAGAGCTGCTCATGCAGGAAGCAGGGGTCAGACGGACTCTGGCATCGGACCGCACTCCAGTGGGTCCCTGTCGTCCACCTGCAGTTGCTCTCTTTTGGAGAAACTCGAGACTCCGTCTGGGTTTTTCTGGGCGGACACAGGATGCGATCAGTTACCTCTGTGCAGTGTGCAGCCCGGACATTCAGTCGGCGAAAGGAAACTGGACTCCCTGTAAGGGCTGGCGCGGTCACGCGGGGCCTGGGGGCGGATGGGGAGGGGGCCTCTCTGGCCCCTACCCTGGGTGGGTGCACAGCTCGGTGCCTTCGTCACCTTGGGCCTCTGAAGCAGACCTTCAGGCCCAGGGCCCGGTGCGGCCTTTCTGTTCATCAGTCTCGGACCCGCCGACCCGCCGACCCGCCGACCCGGCCGTCTTGGCTTTCCGAACAGGCTTGGCTGAAACCTGGGCCTCCCGTCCGAGGTCCCGGGTCATGAGGGGGTGGTGCTGCTTCCGAGGTGTGTTTTCCAGTGGATCGTGTTTTTCCCCTGATGTTGAGTTGGAGATCCAGATGGCATTTTTAAGTTAGAGCAGGTCCCCCACCATCTCCTCTTGGAGGAGGCGAAGTGGAGATAGCGCCAGTCACAGTGCAGCGCCGGAGCCTGGCTCGTGGTCTGTCCCAGGGTGCCGTCCCTGGAGAGCCCTTAGGCTCTCACCCATTCTCCCCAAGGGGTTGCTTTCTAGAGTCTCGCTGTCCCCCCACTAAAGTACTCTGTAGCACCCTCGCAGGGAAACTGGGGAAGACGGCGGTGCCGGCAAAGACTGCACTTCAGGAAAAGCACGGCTTCTGCACGGTGACTGCATTTAAGCAGGACACACCCAGCGCACAGAGCTGCTTCCGCTCACCGGGCCGGCAGTCGGGGAAGCCGTGATCTCTGAACAGAACCTCCGGGCCCTGCCCAGCCCTCTGCACGTCTGCGTCCAGCGGGCGCCGCTGCCAGCCGTCCACGGCCAGTCACAGGCCTCAGCCTGGCGGGTCCCTCGACCAAAACTTGAGGAGCACTGGTGTGGGGCTCCTCACGCCTTCCCACCCTCCTTGTCCATTTCCCCTAGATGCTACCCTTCCAGCATCTTCCACCAGCACTGAGCTCAGGGAGAAGAAAAGAGCCAGGACTTCAAACCTCCGTGTTCCTCTTCCTGAGGCCGACGTGTGGGGGGCGTCAGGCCCCTTCGTGGAGGGGGGCGTGCGTGTCTGTGGGCAGTGCGGGCCTCGCAGGCTCAGGAACTTTCTCTCTTTTCTAATTGCACTATACTTGTTCTCGCTTCAGTCTGGAGATAAATGTAAGACCTCCGTGGGGTCATGGCCCACGGACCCGGCAAGCCTTACCCCTGGAGCTCGACGGGAGAAGCGGGGCCGTTGCCTGGTGCCCACAGTCCATTTCCTCTAGGCTGTTTGCTGCTTCCCACAGCCTGTGTTAGTCCGAACCGTTTCGTTTTTTATTTACCAAAGTACTGTACTTGGCTATTTGCAGTGTTTTCAAAACCAAATGTTTCTTTCATTGTGTTTTCAATCTTCAATACTTGGTGCAATAGATGCTGCAAAGATGTGCCACTTTATCTATGGAAAATTCACTGCACACCAATAAACTCTAGATTAAAGACAGAGGGCAGGTTGTTTGTGTCCGCCGATCACTCGCTGCTGGAGCGCAGGAGTCTGCGAGCACCTCCTGCGAAGCGTCCTCTTCGGAGACCTTGCTCGGAAGGCGTGTCCTCACGGAGGGGTGTCTCGGTGCACAGGCGCACGCACGGGGTCCTGCCCAGATGAAGCGGCAGTTGGAGTGTCAGGGCAGGTGAGTGCGCACTGGCAGAGCCGTCCCCAGGGCCTGGACCCTCAGGGTTCCTGCTCGGTGTCTAAGAGCACCTCTGACCATTTGGGGCAGAGAAGTCAGGAGCAGCTCTCTGGCTGCCACTTTGGGCTTTCTGTGGAACTCTGAGAGTTTGACCCCATCCTGGGAGGGCACACTCCACCAGACACACAGGGACAGCGGTGACTCAGCTAGAAGAGGCCCTCGAAGAGGGAAGGGGAGGCGTGGCCCAGCCCACACCAGGGGTCGGGTCAATCTGAGGTCAAGATTGGTTTTGCCAGGCCTGGCCTTGGCTTGGCTTTGCAACTTGAGGCTCCCACTCCTAATTTTGTCCTCAGTACCTTGAGGTACAATTGAAATGCCATAAAATAGCTCCAGGATGGCTCCGGCTGGGGCGCCCTTGGGCCGTGGTGAGGCAGACACTGAGCACTGCTTTGGTTGTAAAGGCTTTATTGCCTCTGGCCTGGCAGAAGGCAGAACTGCTCACTTTGGAAAAACTTGTCCAGATCTCCCTGTGGTCGAGGGACTTCAGTATCTCAAGATAGTCCATTTTTATTTAGTTTATTCACCCACTCAGTCACCCAGGAACTTCCCCCACCCACGTTTACTGAACCTGTACTGTGTGGGGGTCCTTTTTCCTGGGCATGAGTCAGAAGTGGACCTCAACAGTGTCCAGTCCCAGAGTGAAAGTGGGGAGAACACGAGCCCTGAAGAAGGTACTGCAGGGGGGCCTGTGTGTTCAAAGAGCGCTCAAGGACGCCTTGGGGGCGGAAGCGATGGGACCAGGAATGGGAGGGGAGGCGGGACATGGAGGTGGGGAGCTGAGCCATTTGGAAGGACCAGCACAAAGGACCCTCGAGTGTGCCGTCCCGGGTGTTCAGGACGGTTGAGGACATGCGGTTCGTTTAGAGAGACTGAACTACGAACGCCAGTCACGTGCCTTGTGCTGCTGGAAGACGATGCTCGTCCTGAGTGAACTGCAAAGGTCAAGCGAACTTAGTCTGCCCTGGCTGCATTTCCACATCAGCCGCTGGTCTGTGTGTGCCTTTTGACCTTGGCACAGTCACAGGTAGACGCCCTCTAGGAAAAATGCTACGGACTCTCCCCAGCCGGTTCCGCCTCCACCTCAGCCTCTCAGGGACATCAGCTCAGGGCACTGAAGGTTAATGATTTTCAAACGAGTCCACTTAACAGAAGTGAGCACTCAGGAGCAGTGAGTCAAGGGGCTATTTAAGTAAATTAGCATAATATTTGTCATATGTATGGTGCCACTTCCCTAAAACAGTTCTAGTGGTATGTCCATGGATTCGCTGGGACAGATTTCTTTCTTTTTTTTAATAGTTTACTGCAGGTGGGATAGGCAAAAATAAGTAGCCTCGTCTAGATGCAGCTTCTCCAGAGCTCCAGCGACTTTGAATAAGTTGTCTCATTAAACCTTAAAATCACCCTGCGGGCTGATGGTTCTACCCCCATACAACACATGAGGGAATAACTAACTCAGCCAAGGTCCTAGATTGGAACCCAGGACAATCCACCATGTAGGAAGCCCGGACAGGAAGCCGAATAACGGGTATAAACACATTGCCCAGCCGTTCGGAGGAGGGTGAAACCTGCCTCGGGTGGAAAAGCACCACGGGAAAGGTGGCATTTGGGATCTGCCGTAGGCCATGTGGACGCGAACACGGGGAGGAGCAGCCCGTGGACAGGGAAGCCTCTGGGTGGAAGGGAGCTGCTGCGCAGAGGTGTGGCGGCCGGAAGGCGGTGGCACGTTCAGGGCGGGGGGAGGCACACAGGGAATTAGCTCGGTGCACATGGCTGGAAGAGCAGGGCACACCGAGCTTGAACAGCAGGGATTGGCGGGCAGGGGGGAGCCGGTGATGGTTCAGGGGGCAGAGGAGCGACAGGGTGGATGTCAGGCTGTGGGGAGATGAAGGTGGCCTCGGCTGACCGGACAGGGATGGACACCGTGTGGAGAATGGACGGCTGCAGAGCCTCGGGCTCTGAAACTCCAACCCGGGCTGCGTGGATCGCTGCGGGTGTCTGGGGGAGTTACTCCGTCCAGCAGGAGTCTCCCGTCCGCTGAGGATGAGGATAGATCGTCCCGGACACAATCTTGCTGCTCTGGTGGGAGAGGGGGTGATGATTCCCCCTGGTGGGGAACACCCCGAGTCCTCCCAAATGCTCCTATCAGGAACGGTATGTGTGGGTGTACACAGCATACATGCAAAGCTCATAATGTCGAAAAGGCTACAGTCGTACAGAAACAGGTGTTATCTACAGATGACAATTGAAGGAACACAGATTTGTCATAGGTCAGGGTCTGTGAGTCGTGCTGACACCAGAGGGTCTTTAAGACGTGTTTCATGAGATAAGGGGTTAAGTCCTTATGCCTTGAACTTAAACATCTGGTTTATATCACCAGGACCATACAAAGCAAAGCAGAGCAGGCCTGAAAGGCTACAACATGTTGATCAGCCCTGATTTCCACGGGAACCCTTGGTGTGAGTTGGGTCATACCTGCCACCTGCGTTACCTGGTTTTCCAAGGAGACTTACTAGCCCCTTTCAGAGCCTGCTGTCTTGGGGCTGCAGTCTCCGAAACCACTCAGAGTGGTCCCCAACAGATGTCTGTCTGCTGGTGGGATGCATCTGATCTGTCTCCCTCTTAGCATTCATCAAGGAGCTGGGAGCAGTTTGTAGAAAAGCCCATTGAGGCAAAGAAAGGACTTGAACACGGTATTCAGTTCTCCAGTGGACACGCTGCAGAGAACCCCGAAGGAGCAGGCAGATGTCCATGGAATCATGACCGGACTCATTAGCTCAGGAATGCCAGTGTGATTGCTATCCGTTCACTCGGCAAGTTATTTAACAGAGTACCTTGTTAATAGCCTTTGTTAGGGGCTAAGTGTTGGGGAGGGGGAGACACTACCAATCCACATCCCGTTGTCAGAATTGGAGGGGCAAGCTCTGAACAGGCAACGAAGTCCCTTCTCCAGCACTGATGTAGCCCGTGTCCTTCCTTCCCTCCCTCCCTCCTTCCTCCCCTCCCTCTGTCCCTCCTTTCTTCTCTTTCTTTCATTGAATTAAGACATCCTTAGTGCCCCGTGAACGCCACATGCCGAATAGATGCCAACTAATGTGGTTATTAGGACATTCATTCTTTCACAGACCACGAATGCATACTACGTGCTGGGCACTATTTTGTGTCCTTCACACACGCCGCCTCATTCAAGCCTTGCCGCAGTCAACCTGCCAGGGAAATGCACTGTGCCGCAAAGGCAGAAGCTGAGGGTGTGTTCATGTTGGTGCTTTTTAGATCTTCGTGTGTTCACGAACCGCTCGGGGGGTCTTGTTCACCTGTAGATCCTGCCTCAGCAGGTCTGGGGTCAGGTCTGGGGTCTGCACTTCTAACAAGCCTGCTGCTGCCACCACTGCCGTGGCCGCCGCTCCGCTGAACAGAGGCCCTGCTGCTGAGTGGCAGAGTGGAGGCTCTGGCCCTGGACCCTCTGCCCTCAGTTCAGGGCTCGGTTTCATTTTCTCAGTCCTTTCTACAAGTCTGCAGCAGGAAACCAAGTGCACGTACTACAGACACACAAACACACACAGGGAATTTACACAGACCCTTTGACGCATTCACCACCCAGGTACTGATCCCTGGGAAGGCACAGGGTACGGACGACCTGGTCTGTGGTCAGGTCAGGGCAGGTGTCCTGAAGTCTTGCTCTCCAGTTCCGTTTTCACTCTGCCGGGCGGTTACACAGCTGCTGGGTCACCAGGCCCTCGCCTCATGGAAACCGCACACCCATCAGCCCACCTGGAACATGACCTTGCTCCATCTCTCCCCAAGTTTCTCATTTATGCAGCAGCCCCATCACTCTCAGGTGGTTGAAAGGACTTACTTGGTTATTTCTTAGCATGTTTATTATTGAAAATGCAAGGCGACTGATTTCACTCGCTCAGAAGCACACTTTGCCCCCATTTCTGTGAAGGCAAATCCAGGTTTAACGCAAATCTGGGTTTCCTTCAAGGAGCCTGAATAAAATGGCCACCAGAGGGCGCCTCAAGACCACTTCTCAACAATCGGGCTCTTCCCCAGGCAACCCATTTTTGCTTTAACACCGACCTTCTGGTGGTTCTTTATTGAGTAAAGCCGGCACACCTGCTCCCTCCTTTTGCTAGCACAGAACGCAGTCACCTTTTAAAGCATATGGCGACCATCCTTCGATTTCTTCATTCTATGGCATGTCCACAGTGAGCATTGTCCTGTGAAATGCCTTTCTGCATCCTTTATCTCATGGAATGGGCTCACCCCAATCCTGCAAGGCTTTATCAGCATGTTCTAGAGAGTGGAGGCCGTCTATCCATCTCTAGGAGTAGAATCTGCCAAAGCACATTGCTTCCAGGACAGGCTGCTTGCTACCTGGGGAGAATCCTTTGATGCATTAAAATTAAATGCTTCATGCCGCCAGAGTCAGCCCCATGGTGTTCAAATCTTTTTTTCTTCCCTCCCTTTATCGGGAGCCTGGTGTGGCCAGAGCAGTCTGGTCTGTCCAAGAGGACAACCAGAGGGTCGAGTGCAGTAGCTGATACCGACCCAGGAGGAACAGAAGGTGCACTGGCCTGGAAGTGAGGACCCTTCAGCTAGAACCTCCCCTCTCTGGCCCCCGGATGCCTGTCAGGCAAAAGAGGAATTTGGATAAGATGATTTGAGAGTTTCTTTTGACTCTCAGCCTGTCTGCTAATGGGAGGGACATGAATGAAGCCTGATGAGGGTGGAGACAGTATTTTCCATGCCTCTACGACCTGCCACATGGCCAGAGGTTGCCACTATTGTCTTGGATAAGAAGGTAGACTATTAGAAAAAGGATCACAAAAACTTACTATAATGGGAAATCAAAAGGACAGAATGTTGGAACTGCACATGGGGCCACCCCTGTCGGATTTGTTCCTGCTGTCCCCCAGTGCTCAGCTCCACGATGGCACCTGGAGGTGCTCCCCAAAAATGAATGAATGATTAAATGAGTGAACGAAACTGTATGTTAATGAATGATAGAATCAGAGAATATTAGAAGGATGGAAAGCATTATTCATTTATTCAGAAGAGGGAACTGAGATTCCAGGGGTGGGATACACAGTCTTCTAGGCTGGAGGGGCCAGGGCGTGGCTCTCCCTCAGGGCAACACGGCCTGGGAGGCCCATGGTGGTCCCGGCCACAGTCCGGGTGTTCTCAGGGAGGGATGGGTTTGCAGGTCAGAGATTTTTCAGAAGCACGGTCTTGGTGCACGTGTTCCCCAGGCCTGGGGCTACAGCAGCTGGAGGTGGGGGCCTCAGAAGGCCACAGGGAGGAGGTGGGGCACAGCCTCAGCAGGGCGGGGTGGGCCCCGTGCACAGCTTGTTGGGGTAGTGGGCATATTTGCGGTTGTAGGTGCCCAGGTTTTGGCGAAAGCAGAGAGCAGCCGTCTTGTCACACTCGCAGGTCTGTCGCTGGCAGGCAGTTCTGCCTGCTGGTGGGACAAGGCCAGTCAGTTCCGCCTGCCGATGGGACCAGAGGCTCTGGCTCCTGCACACTCACACACACACACACACACACGCACACAAGGGCCCGATTCAGGGCCACGCGCTCGCCCCCTCCGTTCTGCTGGAAGCTCTTCTCATATGGGGGGTGTCTCGGGGATGGGTAAGGACAGGGCGGAACACAGGAGGGCCCGCTGGGGCCCGGGTGCTGCATGGCTGTGAGAGCGTCCCCCCCCCCCCCCCCCCCCCCCCCGCCTCCGAGCGCTGGTCTGTCCCTAGCTCTCTACACCTCCCTTCCCCCGCCCTGGGAAGTGGGGGCAGCAGCCCCTGACCCCTGTGAAGCGTGGCTGACAGCCGACTGCAGCCATCTAGCAGAGAGGAAAGTCATGAGATGACGGTGACCCGATCCCAGGTGGCCTGTGTGGGCCCAGAGCTGCCTGTGCCCGCTGGAGGCTGTTGGGAATGAAACTGGGGCCCAGTGCTCTCCCCAGGAGTGGACGGAGCCCGTCTTTCTGGTATTTACCTTCACCATCCCCCTCCATGTGTGCACCCACACCCAGCCAGGGGACCAGAACTGGCATCAGGCACCGGGGCCCAAAGCCCCCTCGTCCCTCACTGCCTGTCCACCCGAGGAGCTCTGGCTCCTTTCTGTCCCCAGGAATACGTCTCGCAGCTCAGCGATGCCCGGGCTCTTTTCCCCTAGAAGGTCAGTCTCCATGTCCCATCCGGGTTCCGCCCTGGCTGCTATTTCGGCAAAACTCAGTGTTGGAAGAGGCGCCAGTCCTTAGGGTGGCTCCTGCTTGGGGCTGGACTAAGGCTGGCAAGTGAGCGCGATTATCTGCTTGTTACAGAGGAGGAGGCAGAGGCTTTCGAGGGGCTCCCTTGTGCCCCCGAAGCCACACAGTGTGTAAGGTGAAGCCCCAAGCCTGTGTCCATACCCACCTGACACCTCCTGGCACTGTCCTGACAGGTGGCCATCCAGCCTTGCTTGAACCCCCAGTGAGGGGGGCTCACTCCTGACAAAGTGGCCTTGCCGAGTAGTTGGCTGCAGGAGCAAGGAACCGGGCCAAATCTGTCCCCTGGTTCTGGTCCTGGCTCTGCCCTCCCCCAGGGCAGACCTTGGAGATCTGAGCTGAGTTTTCTGTGACCCTCCCGGCCCTTCCTTGTGCCCCCACTGGGCCTGCTCGCCCTCCAGATGCCCCTGGTTATCTGGTCTGGGCTCCCTGGGGAACAGGGCTGCATGAAGCCCTGCTCGTTCTCACTTGGTTTGGGCTGCTTCCCAGGGCCCGGACCAGAGGAAAGCTAGTTGGTCCAAGTGAGCATTGAACCTGGCAAAGCTGAGCAAATGGGCCTAGCCTGGCAGCCCCGTGGGATGGGGGGGTGGGGTCAGCCTTTGGGAATGTGGTTCGCTGTCCCAAATCAAAGCTCCAGCATGCTCTGCCCTGGGATCGCACTGGTAGCTGCCTCCCAGGCCGGGGAGGGTGCGTGAGTGCGGCTCCTCCGGCACCTGGCTCAGCTCTGCCCCTTGGCTCCTTTCCCCAGAGACTGGAGCTGGGAGGCCTCCAGGTGGGACGAGGTGCCCGGGTCCTGGGGGTCTCTAGATAGATGGGGTGCCGGGTAAACATCTCTGGCTGATGGACACGCCTGTCCCCAAGTCCGTGATGACGGAAGACCCCACCCCTCCAGCCCAGGGCCTGGCTGAGGGGTCACCCTCAGGAGGGGTTCCATCTGACACTGGCCCCCCTCCCCAGCATCTGGGGCACCTAGGGCTGTCCACTCACCACAGAGGACGCTGCGCCTGTTGGCAGAGAAAAGGTACCTCTCCAGCTTGGGCTCGCAGCCCTGCTTCTCCAGACGCCCATAGCAGCAGTCATGGGCGTGGCAGCACCTGGAAGGGCCACCAGGGACTGTCTGGGGGTTCAGAGGGGAGGTGGCCCACACAGGGCATTTGGCCTCAGCTCCTCTACCCACCAGGCAGGCCCTGCCCCACCGTGCTCACCAGTCTGTCTCGTCCACGGGCCAGTGGGAGCCGCCGATGCCGCAGTAGCAGCCGTAGTCCGTGTACTGCAGCGCTGACTTCCCTGTGACCCTCTCGATCATCACCCCGAACTGGACCAGGTTCCCGCCAGCCAGGGCCACTGCAGGGAAGGCGGGCGGGTGCCATCAGATCCCTGAGGGCCCCCTGAGGTCCCCTCCAGTCCTAGTCCAGGCACGTCTCTGCTCGTCACCTCCTGTCTCCACCTCGCCCCAACACCAGTGACGCTGGTCAGTGATGATGTCTCCGGGACACCCATTGCACCCTGAACCCCTCGTCCTCCCTCACGTCAGGGCACCCGATCCCCCCCACTCTCCTGTACCATCTCCCAGAACACCCCCCGCCCCATTTCCCAAATGTCTCCGAGCGGGTCCTGCCCATCTATCTCCCCAGGTGTCAGTCCCACGCCCCGGAAGCACCCTGTTCCCACCATGTCTCCTAACCACCTGGACTTCCCCCAGTGCCTCCAGATCCTCCCAAAAGGGAAGCTAGGGTGGGGGATGGAGTGTGGGTGGTTGGAAGCTGTGTGTGTTGTCTGGGGTCCCCGCCAGCCCCTTTCTCTAACCCCCAGCCCCCCTGGGCTGCATCCTTCTCCCCACCCGCCCACCGATGGTCAGTGAGTTCAAGTAGAACTGGGATCAGCTGACCCACCACACCCTCCCCAAGGCCAGGCTCAGAGGCTCCCAGCTGGGTCAGCGGAGAGGTGAAGGTCACAAAGGTCACTTACCCAGGAGGCAAAGGATGGTCAGAAGAGGGGGAGGCTTCATCGCGGGGGAGGGGGAGGGGAACTGGGACCGAGAAGCCAAGCTGCAGGAAAAGGAAGTGAGTGGCCCCCTCTGATCTCCCGGTCACGTCCTCAGTTAGTTAAATACCCCGTTCTGTCCACTCCCCATGATTAACCCTCGAATACCCAATGAGGCAACGATATTTCCAGGTCTGACACTTCAGCCAAGCTCCCAGGGGAGGGGCCAGTAAAGGGCGTGAGCCCGCTTCCAGGCAGCTGGGGGGGTAGTCTGGCGCTGTCTTTGTTCTCAGGTCCCTTCCCAGTCCCTGCCCCTTCCCCCAAGTCATCACTAGCTCTGCCCGAGGAGCTCTGAGCAGGGGCTGTGCCAGGTGCTTTGCCTTCTCGGTATTTTTTTCTCACCCCCATTTCATTGATATGGTGACTGAGGCCCAGAGAGGTGGAGAAGCCTAAGTGCGCACGGCCTGGGAGGGCCGAGTCTGTCCTGCTTCCCCGCAGCCGGCTCTGTTGGTGTGGCCTCTGCTCCTGCCCCTCGCCTCCCGCCCAGCCTCCGTGTCACCCAGAGGGTGACCACCCACAGGACCCCGGGAGCCTGGGAGGCCATTTCTCCAGGAGCCGACAAGCCAGCTGAGTTAGGGACCTTCTTTGTTGCTCTTTCCTGGGGAGGCTCCTGTCTGTTGGACACCCAGTGAAAATGCTCCCAGGTGTGAATTCTACCTCCCCAAGTTCTCCCACAGTCGGGCAGTGGCCCCCCAGGCCAGCTTGTCCCCCAGGGAGAGCTGCTGTCCCCACGGTCAGACAGATGGAGGAGAGGGTGGCTCCGCTGTAGTCAGGAATTTCACAGGCCCACTGGCCCTGGACCCCCAGTGACTCGTTTGCTGACCGCAGCCCCCTCCCTTCAGTCCACTCCAGCAGAATGGGGGCAAGACGCCCCTGCCCCGGCCTGCTCTCCCTCCTGGCTCCGCCCTCCCTGTTCCTGGTCTGGGACTGGGATAACTTGACTATCCACTTCCACCAGCGTCTGGGACCTGGGAGCCGCCTGATCTACAGCCTCGGAGCCCTGGTTCCGCCGTTTATTGCGTGGCCTTGGGCAGGTTCGTTTCCTGGCTCCGAACATGGGTTTTCCTATGGTGAAGGTAGAAGGCATCCCACCCTTGGCTCCTTAGTGCAGAGTTCAAGGGCAGTGAAGCAGATGGACCAAACAAAGCACTTACTCTGTGCCGGGACTGAGATGAGACCCTCCAGGTGAAATCTCAAGGGGCCCTCAATGAGCCCCATGACGTGGGTGCTACCTCACCCCCCCCTTTATAGAGAAGTAAACTGAGGCCCACGCCTAAGTCCTTGGTGAGCCAGAATTTGGGGCAGGCAGTTCAAAGGGCCTAACTAATTGCTGACCAGTGCCTTGCACCCACAACGCCTTGAGGTGCCTCAAGATGTGTTCATTTCTTTCAAACCGGAAGAGAAGAATGACCATAATCCAGCCTGGGCTACATTTGTCTCCATCCCAATGAGGCCCTGGCATTGGCTTTTTACTTGCTGTGGCCCTGAGCTTAGGGGCCAGGAATGTCTCCTTGTAGTCCCTGACGTGGGGCCTGGCCTTGGCCTCCTTTCCAGTGGAGAGGCTGGGTTTCGCACTGCGGACGGGAGACAGTCCCCACCCACCAGGGACGCGGTTCTGGGGAGGTGTCACCTTGGACAGGGAGAGGAGAGCTGGTGGCAGGGACCCCTGGCAGCGATTTGGAATGAAAGGTTTTAGACGGAGAGGCGGGTTGGTGAACCCTGATGTCCATTAGGCTGCGGCCCTGCCTCCGGCCCCAGTCCTTGCTAATAACTCCTCCTAGACATCATGCTGGGCTCTCTCACCCGGACAGAGCAGATTTGGGGGCAGAAAGGCCAGAGGGGTGACCAACCCCCGCCCCCCACTCCCTCCCTGGCCAGGAGCGCTCATGGCAGTGAGTTGAGGTCTCCAGGGAGGGGCTCCCCAGTGCTCACCATCACCTTTGGATTTTAATGAGGGCACCTCCTGGCAGCCCCTGGCTCCTGGCCTGGGTCACAGGAGCCCAAACGGTGAGTCACTGAGGAGCTGCCTTCTAAACAACTGGGAATTCGCTTTGATTCCTGGGGAGGTCTGGCCCACAGCCCTTCCTGCAGCCGCAGGGCGTTTCCCAGAGAGGGCGGAGTTTCTGAGACAAGCCCTTCACGAGTCATTTTGAAGCCTGGCCTGGCCAGGATGGGGCCCCTGCAAATCCCCGCCAGTGGGTACCTGTGGCAGAAAACCGATGACTGAAGGGCCAAAGCCAGATATGGAAATCTGGGCCAGGAAATCCAGGAGGGCTTCCAGGTGGCTGGCCGGCTGACCTTTGAAGCGAGGGCGTTGGGAGGACTTGGGCTTGGAGGAGAGGTTGGAGCATCAGGAAATGCGGTTGGTTTATGGTTCCCTCTCTAGTGGCACCGTGTGGTTGAATCGTCTCTGCATCAACAAGAATGGGACTTGAGTGTTAGTTAGCTCTGCCACTCAGGAGCTGTGTGAACTTGGCCAGTCCTGTGCCCTGTCTGAGCCCAGCTTCATCATCCACACTCCGTGGATGATTAGACCTACCGGTCAGAATTTTGGATCAGATGGAAAGGAAAAGAAATGTGTAAATCCCTTTGCAAGACTCCATGACCATAGGAGGGGCCCAGCAATATCGGGTCTCTCTCTCCCTCCTTACCTGGCCACAGAGGACGCGGCTGCTGAACTACCAGCTCACGGCACTTTCCCCTACAGGCAGGGGGTACAGCCCGCAGCTGGACCAGGGCCCCCAGCATTTCTGTGGGATTATTGTCCCTACTTGACTGGTCTTGTTGGAGCGGAGGTGAGTAAAGCTGCCCCTTGCAGTTTAGAAGTCATCGCCATCATCATCATCCTAGCAATAAAAATGGCAAAACAACTACCACCGACTAAGCTCCTACTGTGTGCCAGGCACTGGGCTGGGGCTCCTAATCTGTCTAATCTTACCAGTTCTGTTGCTTCCCTGAGGCATCCAACAAACTCCCAGAAAAGCGGGGTAACCCGAAGGATTGTCTGCTCAGTCATCACACTATGTTGAGGACTTACTATGTGCTGGGGATACATGGGACTTACTATGTGCTGGGGATACATGGGAGAATCAAACCAGGTGTGATTTCACCCTTGGGGGGCTGACAGTCCAGTAGGAAGACAGACAGCAGTAATTACCTATTGACTAGAAACTTACAAGTAGAAGTCAACAGCTTGGCAGAATGTTCCACAGGGCCCCGAGAGCACTGAAAGGGGCATCTGTCAGGGCAGGGCATAGGAGAGGGTTTCACCACGGGAGAAGTGACTCGGCAGGGATCTCAAGACGTCCCCTGGGTAAAGATGGAAGTGGAGGGGGTTTAAATACAGAAAGAACCTGTGCAAAGGCCCAGCGGTCAGAGGGACAGAGCACCCAGGAGAAGCTGAAAGGAGGCTGGGGTAGCTGGGCTGGTGATGACCAGCCTTGAAGGGCAGCTGATCTGGGGACCTTGACCTTCCATTCACCCCACAGGAAGCCTTTTGCTGGAGCCTGATAGGCAGGTGGTCGGAGTCTGCAAAGAACTGCATAACATTTTCATCCCAGTGGGGAGCCCCTGCAGGCACCTGAAGGCCAAGAAAGTGGGTACCTCCGGTGGGAACAGACTTCATACAGTGTGGTCCCACAGTTGGGTTCTCCATCTGTGATGGAGAGAAAAGAACAAGAATGTTTGAGGTGGGCCCGCTGGCATTGTTCACAAGGTGGCCTTGGTCCCTGTAAAATGATACAGTCACTTGTTGGTGTCCCTCTAGGGAACAATGGAATGCTTGTGGGGCCCTGAAGCCAGATGCTTCCGGCTGCCAGGAATGTGACTAGGAGGGGCACCGGCAAGGACGAGGAGGCCAGTAAGCAGGACACAGCACACTCCGGGATGGCACAGGCCTCACGCATCACGAGACAGGGCGGGGCTTCAGTCATATTGGGAGGGAGAGGAAGCAGCAGACCCTGATCTTCCATACGCTTCACTGCTGACCCAAGAGGGCAGAGGGAGGTGGGGCTCTGGGGAGCAGGGACGCCCCTGCAGGCCCAGGCAGGTGCCTTTGTGTGCAGTGTGAGGCCTGTGTGTTTTGCTGGGGTGCACGTGTCTGTAGGTGCCTGTGGGGGCGGGGCGCGCCTAGGCCCCGCCCACTGTGAGGGGCCCTTTCCGCTGCGGACTTCAGGGGTCAGGCCGCCTGGCTTTACCACCTGCTAACTGGACACTTTGGGCAAAGGACCTCCCTTTCCACTGTCTCTATTTTCTCATCCGTGCAGTGGGGCGGATTCTGACAGTATCTGTCTCGTCACATCGTCGGGAGAGATTGGAACTGGAAGTTGGGTGGTTATGACTGTCATTCCTGGTGGTAGCAGCACTGTGACCCAGTAGCACAGATTTGGGGCCTCCCCTGCAAAGCCCCTCCCTGCGGGTCCTCCTCCCCCTTTCCCAGAGACCTCAGGAGCCTGCCTGGTCTGGTCTGTGGTGGTCAGGCTCCCCCCCCAACACTTTAATTTGTGTGGAGTAGGGGGTCTCCCTGCTGCGTATTGAAGTATTTCACGGTCATCAGCCACGCCAAGGGACTGGAAAATAAAGCACGTTCGGTCCTTCTGCCCCAATGTACTTTCCTAAAGGCAAATTAAAGAATACAGGGAAAGCTGGTTTTCGCGTGATGGGAAGTCAGAAGTATGTCCAAACTGATTGAGCTGAATTGTGATTACGTGTGAATTTCGGGTGTTCTGCTGATGGACTGGCCATGTTTGAGTGACTTATAAAGCAGAGATGTGCGTTCTTCACAGACTAGTACACATTTATTTCGTAAAATTTGTTTTTCATTTCAGCAAAATTTCCAATTATGTTTTAATCAAATTTTTATAATTTGTGTTCCTCTGACAGTAATGACCTAAAATATTTAAAAATGTAGTTGTATTTAAAGTGTATACAATCTAATTGTTTCATAAGAAGCACAAATGAAGAGTA